TTGCCTTTTCACATACATGCGTTCTCAATTTTAATTGACTGTTTTGTGCGCTACTAACTGCAAATGTTCTGTGATTGGCTATGTGCTATCATTTCACTCTCTTCTTATATATATATATATATAATATAAGAAAAACTTCACCATAAATAAATTAAGAAAAATTGAATTATAAAAAATCAAGATTAGAAAAAAAATACTAATTTTATTTTAACTAGTACTACTATTAAGTTTACATATTTTTTATTATTTTGACATCTGCAAAAAAAGTCTAAGCAAGTTTTTCTTCTTCCTTTCTTATCAGTTTTTAAAAATAAATGTAAGAATAAACAAATAAAAAATTTTTTTTTCATTTAAAAAAAGAAAAACTTTTAAAGCATGTTGATAAGAAAACTAAATAAAAAAGAAGTACAGACTATAATAAAAAAAGTTAGATTTAATTAGAAAATCAAAGCACATTTTAAATAAGTTTTTCCCCATATCGTTCAATTTTTTGTTAAAATTTTCTTTCATCACGCGAAACTTTTAAACTCTAAAAAACAAAATGAAAAAAAAAAGAAGAAAAAAAAGGATTAAATTAGAATGAGTAAGTTTTAACGATACCAAAGAAATTGTAGATTTTGGAAGATAGATTTAAATGCGTTTATGAAGCATCAACTAAATTACTAAGTATTAAAACAGGTTTAAATAAATATCGGTTATTTTATTGACCAATTCAAAATTAAAGTTTATAACCTTTATCTGCGGTTTAATTTAGAACTTACTTTTTTCACTTATCAACCTGACTAATGGTCATGGAGAGAAGGCATTTTACATTAAAAACAACAATAATGAATTATATTTCAAGAGATTCGATATTCTCCTTACCGTCAGTTTTATTGGGTTTATGAACTACTGATCGTCTTTTTATTATAAACTGTCTATTGATACTCAACAGCTGAAATGGTTTGTTCTGAAAATTTTTAACTATCGGGTCAATTTTTCCTTGAACGAAGAGCAGATATTTGCGAAAAAAAAAAAGACTTAGTAGTTTAGACTTAGTAACCGATTCACCTTCTGTGAAGTCAATACTAACATCAAACCATTTCGCTAAAACTACTTTTGTCTTTTAAGATTTAAAAACGTGTTCTCGCGTGTTTCTCAAAGCGGATCTTGTGAAATCATCTTTAATCGTCCAAGTACCTCCTAGACGAGATAGCCTCTCAACCTTCTTCAAAAATAGCAGTCGTCAGTAGATGGCTCCCATATCTCATAAAAGTGCAATGCGTTTTGTCAGTTGTGTTGTGGAATTTCAACGAATGCTTGAACTTAAGCTCTTTTTAAAAGNTTTCAGTCTGATTTGCTCTCAACAAAATCCAACACTCCTAGACGAGATAGCCTCTCAACCTTCTTCAAAAATAGCAGTCGTCAGTAGATGGCTCCCATATCTCATAAAAGTGCAATGCGTTTTGTCAGTTGCGTTGTGGAATTTCAAAGGATGTTTGAACTTAAGCTCTTTTTAAAAGAAAGAGTTTTCTATTGGGAATTTTGTTGTTTCAAATGGATAAAATCGTTCACTGTTTTCAATTCATAATGAAGAATAAAAATGAATTTGTTATAAATGTTACGATTAATAACATAAATGACTGATGGATGTTACAATTATTCTATAACTAGAGCAAAACCTTAATTTAAACAAAATATTATTAATAGTTAGGTATATATACGCATAAGGAAAAATTTTATTTCTCTTTACTTTAAATATTATTTTAATTGTTTTTTTTACTAAGTTAATAATTTCCAAAGAAAAAATTACTAACGTTTTTTTCAGCATTAAATTATCTAAAAAATATTCATCAAAATAAATTTATAAAACACAATTAAAAAAAATATTTTAATGATTTTTCATTGTATAAAATTAAACACTGTAAGATAACTTCAGATATAAAGGGAAGGGGGAAAACTTTGAGCGAGGCACACCTGTGACTTTGGGCCAGAAAGGATTCTCCCAACTTCAGACGATTTGTAATGCTACAGCAAAGGAAGGGCCTGCCCTTCGTGACGTCACTAAATAGTTGCGAGGTGTTGACAGATCTCTACAGTGGTCCTTTCAAAGTTGTTAAGTGAACGACAAAACATTCGACATTCAGGTAAAATAAATAAACAAGATAAAGTCAGCATAGAAAGAATAACCCCAGCTGTTACAGGAGGATTCAGAACATTCTCTCAGAGACATTTTATTCCACAAATTCACCAGAGAACAAAACTTGCCAAAGTGAAAAGATATTTGATTTATTGCCCGATCTTGTAGTTATAGACAAATAGTCTGGAAGACTTATCAATTTCCAGCTAAATACAAATCTCTCTTTCCAGGATGATGATGATGGAACTAATTTTGAAATAATATTTTTAAGGTTAACCTAGGCATACAATAAAGTCAACTTCACGAGAAATTAATCATATTATTATTATATGTCTGTGTCTCTTAATATAAAAGTTTCATAATATTTAAATTTTGGGCGACTCTTAGCTTGCGCACCACTCTAAAAGTACGTAATGATTTAAGTACTTTCTTTTATTGATTTTCACAAAATAAATAAAATTAGAAGTTTTCAATTCATTGAAGTCTGCTTTTGAGCTTTATATCTTTCCTTAGTATGAATTCGGGCTTTATCATGCGTGCTTCAGAAATTTAAACAGTCTAACGTCCGTATTCACCAACACAGATTACCTCCGGGTAATCTATGAGTAAGAGTAAAATCACGAGTTTAGTGCGAAACGTTATTCTCCAGCCGAAATTTCGCCAAACTCGCAGATTTCATCAATTGTTCTGACTCTCCGGGTAACCCTCCGTTTTTGCCGTGTTATCGGAGGGTAACCTATTCACGAGGAGCTTGTGAACAAAAGAGATGGAGGATTCTATCGCTGCGTTTGAGCTTGAAGATCTTGAAACTGTTGAAAGATGTGTCCCAACTATCAGAAATAATGACCTAAGAAGAGTTAGATGAAATAGACTTTTTTGAAAGATATCGTTTCTTAAAACCACTCCAATTAAATTTTGCGATACTCACGCTAATTTGTTTATGCACAATGCACGTGTTTATATTATATACAAAGTCACATGGTTTTACATTGCCCAATCAAAGGCCTCGTTATATTTCCTGCAGGAGTTAAACTCGAGTTGTGAAATCCTCTGTTGAAAACGGTTGGAGAATAAAAAGCGAGGGTTAATCCGAGAGTAACTCTGAACCGTGGATATTCCGATCCCCGAGTTACTCTTGAATTTAACTTGGCGTGGTGAATACGGGTGTAAGCTGACATCACTTCACTTACCTGAAACTCTTACCTTACTCATTCACTTACCGGAACAATGAAAACATATTTATTTATCATTGTGCATATTGTAAGTTAGATGTTATCTAAGCCGTGAAATTCTTTATATATAAAGTTTGTAGGAAAAGAAGTTAAACTAGAGTCTACTTACTGGAATGGAGAGATGAAAAAAATAATAAAAAGGTTTTAAATATTTCAAAAATCTTGAGATATGAAAATTTTTTCCCAAGTTTCTAAAGTTGCTCAATCCTCCCTTAACAAAATAACGCCTTTGATGACTAAGTATTAGCCCTTGGGAGTTCGTAGATGATTCAGTGTGGCCCTCAAGTTAAAAAATTTGGAGACTTCTGAAGCGGAAGTAATGGGGTAGCTAAAGTTATGTTGAAATATTTACCTAGCTGTCTTAAAAACATACTGATAAATTATATTTGGTGATTAAAGGACGATAAGTTTTGCTTATAAGAAACTATTGGAATTAAATTTTACTATCAATTAAAATGTGAATATTTTACGTAGTCTTAAAGTGAGCGAAATTTCTATCGTAATATTCTGTTATTATTAACGAGAAAGTGATTTAATAACATATTAAAATCATAATAAAATAAGCGATAAAAAGTTACTTATTGCTTACATTAACCAACGCAGCACTGCACTCTACTAATAAGCTAAAAGTGTTCTTTTTCCCAAATGAGATAAAAAAGATTTCGGCACCGGATGTAATTTCTTTTTAATAGACTAGGGCCAGCTATACTCAATTCGTAACGCTTTTGGTCTAGTTAACGGGTAGCTAGAGCAATTTTGCGCAATTTTTTTTTAGCAATTTTACACAAGATTATGTGATTGGACATATTCTTGTAACATACTTGTAACGTATATACACTTGTCTTGTATATACACTTGTAACGTTGAATCGAATAAATTATTCTACAGGTAAATCGCTTAGAATCGCATTAAGTTAATACGCCCAAATGGTTAAACCGGTCTTCTGATTGAACGTATTCAGACAATATTTTCAGGTTAATAGAAATCTATAATTTGTTTTAATTTTCAAGAATTTTTATCCCTAGAAAAATGATTTACTTGCTTAAAAAATTACAATTTCGAGAGTGATTTCGTCATTCGAATCAAATTATTCACTAGTCTGAATATAGATGAACAACTATTTTAATGTTTAATGGATATTTTTCTGCATCAAGGCCTTGCGCAGAACTTAACCAAGGATAGGATAACTGTACGAATTATTGAGTATTGTAGAAGTTTGCCTTATGAACCGTTAATGCTGCATCCAAGTTCAAGAAAATTCGGTTAATATATTCCAAGTTGTTCAGGAACTGTTCATTATGTGGGATGCTTATTTATAAATATAATAACACAGAAAATAATAAACATATATTTTATTTACAATAAACTGGCAAAGACAAGTATAATTAAAACCGGTTAAATATGAAAATTTACAGTCACAGCAGGAAAATTAGGCAAGCTACAAAGTTTTTTTTTNCAGCGTCAAGGTCTTGGGCAGAATTTAACCATAGTTAGGATAAGGGTACGGATCATTGAGCATTGTAGAAGTTTGCCTTATGAACCGTTAATGCTGCATCCAAGTTCAAGAAAATTCGGTTAATATATTCCAAGTTGTTCAGGAACTGTACATTATATCGGATGCTTATTTATAAATATAATAACACATAAAATAATAAACATATATTTTATTTACAATAAACTGGCAAAGACAAGTATAATTAAAACCGGTTAAATATGAAAATTTACAGTCACAGCAGGAAAATTAGGCAAGCTACAAAGTTTTTTTTTTGTTTGTTTGAAAGAAATCTTCCTGCAGAGTGGATTGTATTAAATAGCTACAGTTTGGCACACAAAATGGTAGCTGCTGGAGTACAAGAGATAATTCTTCAAACAAGTATTGAATATAAAAGATCTGTCTTCCAAATATGCTTTAAGTTGACAAACCAGACTATGCTTTAATAAATAACTTCATAAACATTCCCTACAGTCAATTCATACACTCAGTGCATCGTTTGTAGAAATAGTTTTTTTTTAAAAAAATGATAGCCTGTATAAAATCTTAAGACTTAATCAGACATTGTTTTTATCAAAAGTAATTCTGGAATTTTTTTCACTTGTGATGTTTGTTCACACAGAGTTGGCAACTTTGACAGAATGGCAATTATGAATTAAAGCCAAGTTTTGATGGCGACTCAAGAGCGCTCTTTTTCAGGCTTCTTTTTGGAGTTGCTAACTGTGAAGAACAGAAACAAGCCCAGCACCAAACAAACAGCATGGAACACGACCACGATGCTAATGGGTTGGTAAAGAGGATATTGCTCTTGTGCACCATGGAATTTCAAGGCATCCATATCGTTTGAAATGCCACATTCTGCCCTCATCAAAATAGCATTTTCTTGCTGGATGACAGGATTCCGTGAACAAGAGTACCTTACTTCATCAGCTAGGGATGAATTGAATTCGTTTTGTACCAAGAGAGTATATACCCATCTTACTGGTGATACCCATCGAGACCAATTAAAGACGAGGAAAATGTCTTTCAGTGGTACAGTATAGCCAGCAGCTAAAGCCAGGATTGTGAATATCAATCCAGCCCACGAAGCAGCTTTATGGCGAGTTGAACTGGCCCAGCTGCAGGCGATGACCATGATGCGAAGAGTGAGCAGATAAAGAATCATATATGCTATGTAAATTCCAAAGGGGCGAACTCTGGAAGTAGTTTGGAGGCCTGCCATAGAATATGCTGGTACAGCATAGGCGACAGCAACAGCACCCGCTGGTATTAAACTATATGTAAGCTAGAAAAAAACATTTTCTATTAGAATAAAATTATTAATGAATACCACTAGCAATGAACGGTGGATAATTGTTTCCTGTTTTAGATTTAGCTTTTTTGCTACTAATCGAAAAGAGATTTTATTATAGAGCACAATTTTGGATTTAGTACAAACTTAATTTCCTACATAAAAGATGGATATTTTTTTCGTTTCTCAATTTATTCAAAATACTGTATTTTACTCATAAAATGAGATAAAATATGTTGCAAAAATTCTAAAATTGCCCATGTTAAAGAGACATTAAATTTATTTGAAAAATATGTTTTTCGCCAAGATTAATTTTATAAAACTTAATCATACCTAGTTTAACCACAAAGTCCAAAATAAAATTGTGTAGTACTACGAAATTACAAAAAATAAGTTTAAAGAAATCATACCCACTATATGAATTAATTCTTAAGGAACAACAAAATATAGTTCGTAAATAAACTAAGTTGGTGGTAATGGTTTTATTCTTCTTAGAGTTGGCACTTATCTAAAACTAAAAAAATTAAACGTTTAAAACTGTAAAAGTTAGATAAAAATTTAAGACATTCATAGCGAAAATAAGAATACAAAACTTTTCACTCAAACTGGTATATAATAATTAATTTCTTGAACGCTTTATCGTGGAAGAAATTCTTCACTGCAAATTCTTTTTCACTTACATAAATAACTTAAAGGTTGAATTATAGAATAAGTAAGTTCAAGTAAATCTAGAATATAGCGTGAAGTTTCAATTTTCAGAGAAACTTGCTTCAAAATTACAAAGAGACAACAGGGACTACTATGCTGTCGATAAGTCATCCTGAAAAGTTTGTTTGCATTTTGAAAACCTTTTTTCAACATTCAAAACTTCATGATTTACTCTAGGATTACTTGAATTTACTTTTTTATGAATTTTAGGATGCCAATAAAGGTGAGACATAATTCGCCATGAAAAATTTCTCCCACAGTAAAGCACCCTCTTAGAGTAATTTTACCTTGCATAAAGCATAAGTAAACTTGTGATACAAACGTTCTCTTGTATCTCTAACAACTGTTGCTTTTTCCTTCCATACTGAAAAGCAAAGAAAAAATTAGTTTTTTTTCGACAATATATATTTTTTACTTTATGTAAACTTATAGTATACAAAGATAAATTGAGAAAATGTAACCAGATTAAATCAAACAGAAAAGAAACTTGAAAAAAGAAAAAACAGTTAAACAATTAATAATAAATACACTTGAACTATCATGAAATAAAAACTTTAAAAATATTTGCTTTAAAAGTCTAATATGTTTCTAAAAATTTGTACACATTAGATATACTATTAGGTCTTTAAAGCTCATTAATTTCTTTGACTAGACGTTTCTGATATCAATCGAAAAAAAAAAACTCATTTTTGTTCAAAATCGAACCTATTTTGTGACGCAAAAACTTTTTAATTTCTAACCGGTTCTTATGTAGTATCTATTCAAAGAAACCGATTTTTTGAGAAATTTAAAATATTTAATGAAATGAGCACTTAAATTGCAGCATACGTCATTGAAATGGTAGTAGACAACAAATATTGCAGGAACAGAAAAACTAACAAGAATATTTCACTACGAAATTAAATCGATATTTTTAAATCTTCAGTTAAAATTATTGGTGTTCGAAGACTGCCTCCATAGTGAAAAAAAATTGCATTCTGCTTATAGTCATAAGGAAACGATAGAAATTTTTAATCCGGTACGAACTCCAGTTTGAGCATTTAGCTAGTTGAAAAGTAGTCTCGAAGTTTCCATAAGGGTAAATTCTATTTGGAGATAAATTTTGCTTGCAGAATGGAGGGAACGTTTGAAACTTGTATTGTCCGTAACTCTTGATAGAAATTTTATCATCGGTTACTCAGATTTGACCTTTACTTTAATTTTAGTAACCATTCGTAAAGTTTAAGTAAAACTGAAACGTCAAAATACAGCACGAAATGGTTAACAAAAAACTTAAAATTTGTGTAAAATGTTACTTAAACAAATTCGTTTCTCTTACGAATATTTTACCAACCACACTTTACTGGGTAAGAATGAGTACGTAATTTTTACATAATATTTACGTCAACAGTACGTCAAAATGAAAGTAAGTTGAAACTACAAATTATAGAAAAAAAAAGTAGTAATCCAAAAAACAGAAAATTTGCGTAAATAAATCCGAACCGAAATTTACCGAAATTTAAATAGTAAACTTGCTTCGTCAATAATACAGTAAATACACCGAATCATTTTTACTAAATCTAAATAGTTAAAATTTGTCCTCCAATTTTTCGTAAAATAAGCGATACAGTTGGTAAAATCTATTCCGTTAACATTATCTAAAATATACCATTGCTTTTTTTTTACCAAATATCTCAATGGTTCAATACTGGTGGAAAATTTTTTTAGTCACTCTTTCGTAAAATATGCGATACAGAAGAGCAGTTGATAAAATCCATTCCGTTAACATTATCTAAAATATACCAAGTCTTTTTTTTTTACCAAATATCTCAATGGTTCAATATTACGCAAAACGTACGTATAAAGTGTATTGACTTTATCACTTTATTAAAATTTTACGTTTAATTTAAATATCTTGCAACACAGGAGTTCAGAAATTGATTAGACATATCTATCAAAGAATTTAAACTGAAAATAAATCTGCTTATTAGATGCTTCAAAAAGAATGCAATTGAATTTTAGAAAACGGAATCGCAATGCGCACTGGGGCTACTTACTTCTTGATATGGTGTAAAGAAGGGTAGGCCATACTCCCATTGTCAGCATTACATAGTAAAAACCAAATCTGTCCTCTATGTGTTCTTGTTCTCTACCACTTCTCACATTCCAAAAAGCAGCACCGATGCATACCGACATCAATGCAGCCACAAACACTTCACCACAAAAGTGGACCACGTTAAATGGAAAAGTGTAAATAAGCACACGACTGAAATTAAAAGTATATTGGTTAATATTGGTGAGATTTAAAAACAGAATTTTAATGACTCTTAGAATTGATAACGAATAACAGTTCTTTCAATTGATAATAATCGTTATCAATCTCGAATTACACTAATTATTGTGCAATATGGAACTGCTTCATTTCTTTGAGTCAAGAATTACATCTATAAAGCCATGTTTGTGATTTCAAATCAAATGAATGGAAAACATAAACACTCGAAAACAAAATTTAAAAGTTAATATTGAAAAATAAATTTGAGCTACTTAGATCAGAATTTAAAATGTCAAACATATCATTGCAAACTTTTAAAAATCAATGTTTAGAGTAAAATAAAGCCATTTTAACTGTCAGACGAAAATCGATTTAAATCTATGAGCTGAATTGACAAAACATTTCACGGACCAAACTGCCAAGATATTTTACGGGCTGAATTGACAAAATATTTTATAAGGATTGAACTAGTAAAATATTTTGAGGACTGTAGTGAAAAAATATTTTAGGGACTGAGTTTAAAAAAAAATATAAGGACTAAATTGGCAAAACAATTTACGGTTGAGCCAATTAAATGTTTTACGGTCTGAATTGACCAAATATTTTAAGGGCTTAATTGAATGTCGATGACTAGGGCAAAATCCAAAAACAGTTGAACGCAATCAACTTAACTAAATCAAACAGCGTATTAAACAAAGCAGTTGGAGAAAAAGGAACACAATAGAAAAATTAACTAAGTTGTAACGGGTCTTAAAAATCAAGAATTAACCAAATCGGCAAAATTCGTTAAGAATTTATGCAGGTGATGTCATTCTAACGTCAGCAACTATCACCGAAATTTCTTATTTCCTGCCTTGAAAATTGGCCTGTTAATTGAGCGTTATGAAAATTTATTGCATTTAATTTTACGAACTTTAAAATTAAACAGATATCGAATTACGTTCATTTTATTATTAGTTTCAAATAAGATACAGGAAAATGAATTCAGCAATAATTAATTCATGTTTAAAAAAATGTATAAAAAATTAGGAAATTTATACTCACATCCACAAAGTTAGCACCTGAGTAAAAATATTTGCTCTCTTGACAGTTGCTGGAGGAACCCCAGGTGGTCCAGGATCACCTAATGGTTCTTGTCTACGTCTGAATAATTCGACTAAGTTTTCGACCCTTTGACTTGATTCCAGCATTGCTTCAGCAGAGAGATTGTCCAGTGTGACAAGATCAACTAAAATACAAATTTAAAACTAAAACAAAACTTTCAGCATAGGGAATGAAACTTTCAGCTTAGGCAATGAAACTTTCAGCTTAGGCAATGAAACTTTCAGCTTAGGCAATGAAACTTTCAGCTTAGGCAATGAAACTTTCAGCTTAGGCAATGAAACTTTCAGCTTAGGCAATGAAACTTTCAGCTTAGGCAATGAAACTTTCAGCTTAGGCAATGAAACTTTCAGCTTAGGCAATGAAACTTTCAGCTTAGGCAATGAAACTTTCAGCTTAGGCAATGAAACTTTCAGCTTAGGCAATGAAACTTTCAGCTTAGGCAATGAAACTTTCAGCTTAGGCAATGAAACTTTCAGCTTAGGCAATGAAACTTTCAGCTTAGGCAATGAAACTTTCAGCTTAGGCAATGAAACTTTCAGCTTAGGCAATGAAACTTTCAGGTCAGGCAATGAAACTTTCAGGTCAGGCAATGAAACTTTCAGGTCAGGCAATGAAACTTTCAGGTCAGGCAATGAAACTTTCAGGTCAGGCAATGAAACTTTCAGGTCAGGCAATGAAACTTTCAGGTCAGGCAATGAAACTTTCAGGTCAGGCAATGAAACTTTCAGGTCAGGCAATGAAACTTTCAGGTCAGGCAATGAAACTTTCAGGTCAGGCAATGAAACTTTCAGGTCAGGCAATGACACTTTCAGGTCAGGCAATGAAACTTTCAACTGAACGGGTGTACGAAAAATAACCACTGATTTGAAAAAATTTAAGCTGAAATGGTAGGGGATAGAAGCATAAGATTTGTCGGTTCACTGTATTCTACTTAGGAAACCAGTCAATTTATTCTAACCAAGTATGTAAGCAGATGAAGCTGCTAAATGGAAGAATTATAAAACGATGTTTTCTGCTACACGTTAGCTGATTTTAACTGAAATATATGAACGGGGTCTTAATATTTGCTTCCGAATAGTTCACGTTAATGATGCAAATATTGGTTATTTTAAAAACAGACGTACTATATTTTCAGCACTATAATGAAACCTATTCCTCGGTATCTGACAAATGTTCTTCAGAGTCTGATTATGTCAAAATGTTTTGTACTTTTCCCTCTCTGTTTTAACTTTTAATGCAGCACAAATCAAACCCTTCTCAATTCGCTTTAATTTATACTTTTTCTCGATTAGCAGCATTATTTATTGACTAAGTTCTACCACCTTTAACAATTTTGAAAATCAGTAAAAAATGGAAATTCTAAGCAGAACTTAGCAAACCGCACATTTTGATAGATTACCTTCTAAATTAAAATATTCTAACCACAATTTTTTAATCAGTACATTTCACGACATTTTTAAATATTTTTTTCTTACTTTTTTATTAAATATCCTCCGAATTTGGTAAAATTCCACCACTCCCAAATGTCGTCCTTGCCAATTTCAAAAGCATATAAGTCAGTTAAAAAAAATTTTTGAATAGTTCTAATGATATTTTGAAAATAAGTTTCATTGTCATTTACACTGGCTCCATTATATTAAAAACTTCAAAATAAAATATTTTTTTGATTGATGTTAAATTCTAATAATATGACGTTTTTAGAGGTCAAAAAACAATTGAAACTTATTTATGTGAGACAAGGTAATCCAATTTAAATTTAATTACGATAATATTATAATTAATTCTACATGTGGCGGTTAGAAAACGATTAAAACATGCATTATCATCAGGAATGGAGCTCTTGTTGAGATTTGAGTGTTCTAACTAGTCTGCAAGGGATAAAAATTTTGACTTCAATGCTTCAACGTTACAAGCCTGATGTATCGCAAAAACAGAACTTCCATCGATAGATTTTTGTGCTGCCTACTTTTGATAATTCCAAAGTATCAGTAAACGATGTTTGTAGAAATATCAACAATATTAAACATGAAGATATTTTCAAAGCAAGACTATTATTCTTGCGTTCTTTCTTTACGTGGGAAAAAATGCAATAATTGAAAAGTTAATTTAAAATGAATTCTGCATTTGAAGCCCAAATTATTTCTAAAACAAAACTTATAATTGCTTCAACATAGAGTAGATAACTTTACTTACGATAATAATCAGAAGGATTTTTGTAGGCTGGACATGGAAAATCAATGTAAGCAAAGTAAGGAAGCATGTCTCTTCGTTTCCCAAAGAATAACATTCTTCCCGTAGAAATGACGGCAACTAAGGAAAATAAAAATTAATTTTCATCTAATAGATTATTAATCTTAGATAACTAAACTTAAATCAGCAGCCAATCATTCGACTAACAGATTACGAATTAAAAATAAGTATATTTTTATGTTTCCTTTATTTATTTAACGCAAGTTAGCTTCTCTTAAAAAAGTATAATATTTCAATTTAAAAATAGAAATATCTTTATGCACTTATAGCAGATGTAAGTATACTCTTCACAAATAGTCTTGTTGTTGAGTAATACATCAAAGCATCAAGACTATTTGTGTAGAGCTCCGCGAATAGTCTTGATGCCTCAGGGGATCTAGTGTTCACCTTCCAATGAGGTGAACCGGGTTCGAATCCCAACGATGGCTGGTTGATACGAAATCCGCATCCGGCTTGCACTTACCACAATGAAGACTTAAAATATCCTCAGTAGTAGCCGGATCATGGATTAGAGTCCCCTTGCCATCAGGCTAATCGTTGGAGATTTTCGTGGTTTTCCTCTCCATGTAACGCAAATGCAGGTTAATTCCATCAAAAAGTTCTCCACGAAGACAAATTTCTCGTAATACTTGATCCAAGAGTGTCCTTGTCTTCTGGATTAGGTTCAAAATGACAAGGCTACGAAGTTGAATATTGGTAGTCGTAAACCCAAAATCGGGTGGGCTGTTCAACGACTGTTATAAAAATATAAAACCCCTCTGGCATTCACCCCTCTTCACTGATACTCCCAAACTCCCGGAGATTGCTCACATGGTTTGTTCGGCAAACCATGCTTGCTTTGCACGCTACCAAGTTAAACCCGTTTGAAATGTGTTCTAGCGTAAAATCTTAAGAATTTAAATCAATAAAATCTTTAAAACAAATTCCGCTTTTTTTTGAAAAAATTTAATTTTTAGTAAATAATAAATTATTGAAATTAAATACCTTAACTTAAAATAAATGATATCCAATAGAAAAGCTTGTAGAAAGAAAATAATTATGCTTTAAAAAAAAGCAATCATCACGCTACGTTTTACATGCTTTTTTTTAATGCTACATCTTTTATAGCTGTTTTCAACGTTTTCTTCGAAGCTTCGGGAATTCTTTTTTATTATATTTAAGTGTAACAGCATGGCTAATAATTTTTTTTTATGAATAACAATGAATAAAATTACTATTGAACCAGCATGAGTGTAATTGAATCATAATATAGAACACTTTGTCGATATGAACTATTTGCTTTTTAACTTTTCAATTTCTCCTAATTTATAGCTGAGTTTTTTTCTGATTTTCTTCGCCCAAGCGAAAAAATTTTAATTCAGATATTTTTTAACATGTACCTTAAGGCTTTCATGCTTATGACAGCTCACACGCTTGATATTTAAATACTTTTTGTCAATGTTAAAAAGAGATAAGAACTTTTTTTGTCATGTAAGAGAAATGCATAGATAGATCTTGATAAATTTTAAGGTAATTTTGCTTACCACTACGTATAAGTGATTTAAACCAATAGGGTTTGACCCCACGTTGAAGATTCAGTGATATGAGAAGAATAAGCGATGAAAAGTCAGATGATCATGATCATAATCAATGCTCAATGATGGTCAATGGTCATGCTCTTAAATAAAAATGTTTATAAAAATTTAGCTTGTTTTAAAAAATTCTGCTTCATATCACTACCGGTGTGAGACATATTTCGCACAAACCTTGAACATTGGATGATATGATATAAAGAAGTACCATAGTCAAAGCAACGTTTCTTTGCTTTGGAATAGCAAAAGGTATTAGCATAATGAATATATACTATAGATTAAAAAATTGATTCGCAATAATAAAAAAAAATCTATAAAAATTACTTCTTGAAATCATTGTGAAAATTTCATATGTTGGAGGATGTATAGTCATGATGACAATCCTTCCTCTTGCTGCCCATTGGCGTAAGTATTCGACCAGGAAAAAGGTATCAAATATATCCATTCCTTTTGTTGGTTGGTCCAGAAGTACAATATCTATAAAAAGAAAAACACAGTTTTGAATCGTGTAGTTTAATAGATCTGATGCAGAATTCTGATATTAACACATTTTTCCAGCATTATTTTCACAGTCATTGACCAAATGCCGGCATTTTTTGATAATTATTTACTACAACGTCTGGTTGACCACAATAGGATGAAATGTACAACACTGTATCACAAATGCTTGTGAAGTATAAAGGTTTTTAATTAGGAATGGTTGAAGGTTTTAATTTCATTTTAATTTTAAAAATTGAGATGCTTAATTTTAACATATATAATATATTTCCTTTAATTTATAAATATATTTTGACAGGTAAAAAAGCTTTTTAAATATTTTCTACAACTTTAAATCTCTTCCAGTTGTAAACGCAATTAAATTTTTTTAAAACTTTTTTAAATTCCTTCTTGTTGTAAATATGCAAATGGCAATTTTCGTCATTTGATTCACTGAAATTACGAATATTTGTGAAGTGGATGGATGAATGTTTTATATTTACTATTTTAAATATAATTTAAAAAATACGTGAAAATATTTTAAGCAAACATAGATGACTGATAAAAATTTGTGGAAATTTAGCTAAGGTGGTTGGAGTCAGGGCTAAAGAGAATAGAAGGGCTGGTTCACTCCTTTGAAGTAACTCTTGCCGCGCCAATCCTCCGATTTTCTCTAGTGGCGTCACTTTGGCGCAAAGCTCGCACTTTTACTTCAAGAACGGAGCGCTCGGCCTTACTAGCTCTAACTAATATTGGATCATTTCTTTTTGGGAGATATTCTAAGATATTTGTTACTTTCCATATTGACTTTCCTCAGTTTTTGCAGTGAATTTACAAGAATTTAAAACTATTATCGAAATGCCAGTTTGCGCGATTGCAACTTGCAAAAATTCTGATATAAAAACAAAAGGAAAAAGTATAATTTTTCGCGTGTTCCCTAAAGTAAATGAACAACTATGTAAAGAATGGATTCCGAAATGACACAGTTAATATAAAACAGCAATACGTTTATTCTGTCGTAAAGAACTTTTATAAAAATTCATTATCTAAATAGAAACCGCCTCGTTACTTCATAAAGAAAGGCAGGTGAAAAGAATTAAAAAATAGATAAAGTCAAAGAAAATTAAAATGTAAGTAAAAAGTATAAATAAAATATATAGTATATAGTTGAAATTCTCCTAATTTCATAACATATTTTTTAATGTAGTTATTCTAAATATTTATGATTTTTTTTAAAAATTATATTCTCTTCAATTTAAATATCTATATATTATATCATCGTAAATTTAAATGTCTATAAACAATTGTAAAATTTCTGATGTCATTATGAACCTAAATTATTATTTTGTTTCAGTAATTAGCGTTTAAGGTTGATGTTTCCTAATGATTAAGTATGAACAAATTGCTATTAACGACATATTTTAAAATCAGGGATTCTAAATTTAACTTAACTTATCTTTATAAAAGAATATGTAGATAAAAAAAGTGTCGATATATGCCTTCATTTTTCTTAATAGTTAAAGTTAAAACTGAACTTTTTAAAATAAAGTATTTATCGTGTCATTTTCACCAACTAGCAAAACATTTTTATAAGTTTAAAATGGTATTTTTTTAATATAATAACCAAGAAAGTTTTTTTTGAACTATGTTTATGAACGGAAATAATGTGTTAATTACGTAAAGTTTGAAAGCTAATAACCAGAAAAAGTCTAACTTATTTTTACAAAGAGAAAGATACAAAGTTATCATATCTTTACTTGCGATCTCCGAGATCTGTGGACACAGTGACGTCATGAGGAGGGAAATCGTAGCTTCAGCTCTAAGAGCGGAGTGAACTAGCCTTTCCATTCTCTTTAGCCCTGGGTTGAAGTTGCCTCTCCCATCTCTAATCCTATTTTATATTATTTTCCGTAGACATTGTGCTTACGCAATCCTTTGTATTGATTAAAAAGTTTTTTTTGGAAAATAAGCAAAAAGAAAATGATGCTTAAACTAAATTAATTTCTAACGTGGTTACCCCTTTAGTTTAAAAAAATATCGTAAATGCATAATTTCAGGCCAAAATGCAGCTACTTTTATAGTTAATATATTTTAGTGAACACAAATTACTGTTTCACCGAAAATTTTTTTAAAAATAAAATATTTGAGTTAACAAATTTTATATTTTTGAAGAAAAAAAAAAAGACAAGACGATTTAACANTATAGTTAATATATTTTAGTGAACACAAATTACTGTTTCACCGAAAAAATTTTTAAAAATAAAATATTTGAGTTAACAAATTTTATATTTTTGAAGAAAAAAAAAAGACAAGACGATTTAACAGATGTAATAGGTTAAGTTTCAAATGTGAGCCGGTTGTTCCAATTTTGTATTTGTTGCATTCTGCGACTAATAGTAAGCCTACGTGGAGTTACATTCTTTATCGATTTCGTAAAGAAATGTCAGCTTTTCCCCACAGATTAGACTTTTATTTACATAGAATAACGTAAAAATAAACAAGTTTTTAATTTTTTTGTGATCAATTATAAATGCTTTTTAAGAGTGTGATACCCATTCAAACTTTTAGAAGCATAATATGAAACTTTTAGCCTTGGATTTAATTAATGTAGGAATGACGCACAGTATCCAAAATCAGCAAATGTCCAGAATAACTTATGACCCAATGATTGGATTTTCTTGTACCAGGGACTCAATCTTAATATTTTGAGAGACTAATCTTAAATATGATAATTAACTTGCGTAAACTATATTATTTTAAGGGATGAAAGCAGACAGAAAAAAATGCTTTTTCTGCGTGAACATGTTTTTTCGACTGTTTCAGATTCTTTATTCTCAAAATACGGAGAAAGGGGGATACAATCTGGAATACCAATTGTTTAGGTAGAAGAGCTGTCGAAAGTTAAGCCCTTTAATGTTATTTTCATTTTTAAAGATCTGGCATTTCTAAGATGTCGTGTTTTAAAATTTTTCATAATCTAATCAACCGGTTGCCTAAAAAATTTGCATTTTGTCATTTAAAACTACGTAGATTAAAATTGTGTAAAAACTTACATTAAAATTTTTTTTGCTTATTAAATTAAATAAATACTTATTATAAATGATTATTTTTTGTATGGAATTATCTTCCAATAAATAAGTTCTATAATAAAGAGCAAAAATTTTGATCCGTTTTATTAGTTCTGGTTTATAAAAAAGTTTCTTTTCTAAAAAAGCATTGCCAACAAGAAAAAAAAATACATTCCCCTCTTTTAGGGTAAAGATAAAAAGTTGATAATTTGCCATTTATTATTTTCTGTTTATTAATATAAGGTTTTATATTTACCTGTGTCAAGAAGAAGCTGTGAGGCAACATTTAACCGTCGCTTTTCAGACTCTGTAAGATCTGATACACGAGTGTGTTTTACTTGTCCCAAGCCAAGATCTTCTATAAGAGCATTTATCTGTAAAAAAAAAAAAGTAGTTGTTGCTAAAGAAATGCTCAAAAATATAGAACTATTAATTCAGTCTAGACTAAAAATGTTTACAGAAAAGAAGTTTATCATAGAACTAGTCAAGAATCATCTGAAGCTAAAACCGGGCTATGTACATATATTGTTTGACCAATTTTCTCTCATACAATATGAAATTGCATACGTTTCTGGAAGAGAATATGTCCTATTGCTAAAAAGTTTAAATTGCTATTAGCTTGTTTGAAGCATGATTATGGAAGAAAATTTTTCATAAACTCGTTAGCTTTAATAGTTTAAAGAGTTTAGTGAATTTTATTTAAAGGGTAGTTCAAATATTACATAATAACCCAATGGCAGGAAGAGATAACTGGAGAGCTCAAAGTTTTCAAGAATATGCTTATATAATATTTGAGCAACACCTAACCGAAATTTTTATAAAAAGGTATTGTCTGTTTTTGTTTTTAATTACACCCTCAGCAATAAAACTATCACATTTGACTATTCAGCAATCTTTGAGCTGTGTATTTCATTAATTTTGAGAGCCATTTCGTCATGAAATTCCGTGATTTGTGATGAAATGCAAACTCTCAAATGTATGACGAAAATGGTTCCGGAACCTCATTTTAATGCATTGTGGGAGATTAACTAAAATGAATGAACTGGAATGAAAACTAGATGATCGAAAATAAAGTGACGATAAAGCTGACCGGCTTGTATTATGGTCAAGGAATTGGCCTAGTACCAGAAAGATCCCGGGTTCGAATTTCGCTTCAAACACGCTCTTTTTTCTTTCAGTCTTTCTTTTGTTGCTTGGGTGACATTGACCCACCTGTATGGTGTCCACGATAAGGTAATTGTACGAAAAGTTAAATACGTTAGATATTACGAGTTTTTCGACTATTTTTTTCATTGGATAAAATGAAATGACGAAATGTGTTTCCTCGAAGAAGTGACAATAGTTATTTTGTCACTTTGACGAAATTTTTGTGAGGAGCATATATCAGGAAATGGTTCCATCAAAAACGAAGAAAGTTTCTTTAACTTTGAGTATCCATTTTTTTACATTGAATATTTATTATGCGAAACAAAATTCCCTTTCTTTGCACCAGTAGGTATCACTGTGCTAAAAAAGAAAATTGGATTTTGGTATTATTGCATTATTTTTGCCGATTATTACGTAAAATGTCCAAATCCAAATATGGACTCCGTTTTCTCCTACTCCCCCCCCCATATATAATTTTATAGTCATGAATTAGATTTGAAAGATAGAAGAAAAAGACAATTTTTACTGTTAAACACCTTCTAGAACGGGAAAATATTCTAAATTTCGGGGGATTTTCTAGAACGGGATGGAAATTTCGGGGGATTTTCCCCCGAAAATATTAAGAAAATCATGGAAAAAAAAAATTTCGAATTTTTTACGCAGAATGTTTTAACTTATTCTCTACAGACATCAATTTACAGTCCTTTTTTCTCTCCCAAATAACAACAATATTCTGAAACAACTCATGTTAACTGTACGCAAAGAAAAACTATTATCTCTGAAAGTTACACATCTTGAGAGTTTGCTTACGTTATTTATTGTTCATAAATTAGGATAAAAAAAAAATTCATATTCTATACAAATCGATAAAGTATGAACACATATGAACAATTCTGTGATAAAATGGATCCCATTTTTAATGACGTCATTACCGGTACCAGAGGTCATCGACCCAAATCTAAGACACCTTCTTAACATAATGAGAATAAAATCTTCCCTGCTTAAGCACTTCTCGACTGCAAGTTACTGAAATATATTACTTCACATAAATATGCGTTATCACGATATTTTGTAGTTAAAATTTTCTTAACTTATGATAAACTAATTCAGTAAAAAATGGAGTTTTATCCTTCAACTAAATTATATAAAATGGAAAATTGCGATGAAAGGTATCACACCTACAATACCACATATGGTGGAGTGCAAGAAAAAAAAAGCATAAATTTACTTTATGAGAATAATTTAATTTTCATTCGAGCGTAATCGTTTTTTCCATTCGACCACAGAATGTATCCATCGAATAATGATTAAATGGTTTTTTAAAACTATATCAAGATTCCTTTTAACCAATTTAAGATTCTCACATTATTGGCTATATTAAAGATAAAAAAAAAAACCATAGTGTAAGTTTAACCCTTGGACGCAGCATTCTTGCTAAAGATATTTCTCATAATTAGTTCATTATTTGGTAATAATTTAGATCAAAATAAGTAGAAAATATTATATTTAGCTTTTTAATAGTTTGTGGTTATGAAATACAGCATTTAACACCGGTCTCTTTTTCCTGTGTAAAAAACAAAATCTTCCATACATGGCTCACTTCCAAACAATTATGCTTTAGATTCGCATTTATTTGTAGTTATTTAGATCTAAGAGAAACAATTATTCATCACTGAAATTTTAATAGTTCACAAAATCAATTATTGATGCGTTTTTGAATATGAGTAAAGCAAATTATTAACTACACTTTTTTGGATTTTATATTTTACAAATATAAATTCCAATAATCTAACAAATTTTTTTGTAACTATTGGACTATTTTTGTAACTATTGGACTAATTGAAAAATATCAAAATATGTTTCTACTTGTAATTAGAAAGTCAGTAAAAAAAATATATATAAGGTATACCGGTGTCCCGTTTGTGTCAAGGGTCTAAAAACTTTTTAAAATGGTTCGATATGTTTAGTTGCGAGTCGGGTTTGCGGCTATCTCTGAAAAAACCAAAACAAAGGAGGGCTTTGCTTACATAAGTGTTGGCAACAGTAAAACTTACTGAAGACTCAAGACAAAAGTCAACAACAGGGAGCTATTTTCTTGAGTGAGTTATTCGAGCATTTGATCATTTCCCTACGATTTTAGTTCCAGTTACAAACACAAAACTAATAAATAAGGTTATTTATAAGCACAAAATTTCATTTCCAATTCTTTATAAAGGGCACCATTTTAAAAATCTCACCAACCTTCCCACTAAAAAGAAAAAGTGGTCTTAAAAAATCTAATTTCAGGTAATAAGCTAAATGAATTTCCTTAAATATTATTCTGAATCCGAAAGATCCCAATCCATATTTCAACAGAACATTATTAGAAAAAAAATAGCCCTATAAAGGATTAAATAATCTAGTGCCTCGTACCAAGCCCTATTTACGAATTGTAATTTACATACAAGTAAGAGAGAAGCGTCAACCCTCTCATTACTCACAGATTACGCTTACACGCTTGAATAACAACAGTAGGGACTTGCATTGAAGACAATATTATGGGACACAGCCGTAAGCTTTAGAGTAAACAAAGCATAAAAGATGCTTATAGGATATGACCCGTTTAAACGGAATATTTAGTTCAAGTACAGTTAGTATCTATTGTTAAATACACTCATCCATATTTTGATTGAAAGTTTTGAAAGCGAAACCTGCCGAAATGACATTTTCAGTTCTACTTGCATCTTGTTTAAACCAACATCATCTGAACATCAATTTTATATTCTAATCTACATTGCATGGGTTTCAGTCTCTCTCTCTAAACTCGTTGCATTTCTTCTATGAATCTAAAGAACCTTTATGTTATTTGGTTTTTCCGAACAATAAAATTTTTATTATATATAAACAAATATAAAATCTATCTATATACAGATAAATCTATCTATATATCTAATTTATATAAAATCATCTGTATCTACCTCATATGAATAAATATTAAAATAAAATCTAAGGAGGTAAGCTGAAACATTCATAAACAGAAGATTAAATAAAACTTTATAAAAATATGAGGGTATATATTTTTAAAACGTAAAGCACAAAAGTCAAAGAAAATTTTTAAAAATCCTTTAAGGGTTAGACAAGTAATTTTACGCATTTTGGGTTGCTAAATAATATATGAAATAAAACTTAGAGTTAGGTATAAATAGCTATTTTAATACTGCGAACCACATTGCTTAACCATTACATCAAGACATGTGCGTGAGTTAAAATTCTGAACTTTTTTGCTTCTTAGTTTTTGTTCTCGATTGGATAAGAATTAGCTTGTAAATGAGATTCTTTTCCTCAAAATCTTATCGTTGTCATAAGAAATCAAAAAATATAGAAGTCGGCAATTTAGATTTCGAATTAAGCAAATAGATCAAAAATAAATTTATTCAATAGCTTAAATTTTTTTAAACATTCATAACGTCATGGGAAGTATACTACTCGCTTATTTAGTTAGTCTTTTTAATGTCGGTAGAAGCTATTTTGATTTGTGAGGCCACCCGGTGATAATTTGAGAAGATTCAAAAATAATAACTAATGAAGGTCTTTATGTTTTCATGAATGTGGATAAAAATAAAGGTTAGCGTGGGGTCAAGAAGAGAGTCTATGGGGTGATACTTTCTCTTGTTCGTTACGCATTCCTTTGTTCGATCATTTCTCTACTAGCTTATTTGCAGTTACAAACACAGAATTTATGAAACTCGTTCGTTTTGAATATCCCGCCAAAAGAAAAATGATCTTCAGAATATCATAAATACTTTATGTAAAAAACTATGATAAATTATGTAATAAACAAAACGAATTTCTTTTCATAAATCAATCATAAAAACGTATTTAAACATAACATTAAAAGAAAAAAAATAGTCCCAACAGAGAAATAGCAAGAGCATTCCCAAACAGTTCAGAAATTATAGCAAAGGCACACATACTCTTACAAAGTAAAATTAATACGTTAAAAACTGCTACACACTTTTTCAAAAGACTATTTTAGTTCCAAAAACGCTTATTTCTTTTTCATTACTCTTTATGGTTCGTTCAAAGGGTGATTGATGATTTCCAAAAATATGAAGTGATTACTTTGGAATGAAAATTTCTATTTACAGTGTAACTGACAAATGGGCCAAAACTTCCGTATATCAGAGTTTGGCGATAATTTAAGTGACGCATGAGTAAGCAGACCTTCTCTTTCAACTGTGACAAAAAATAAATAATTCGAAAGTAACAAAAGCGTGCAAATCCATTAGGAAAAGTTCAACACAAAAGTAATTCTTAAAATCCAATTTTTTTCCAATAAAAAGTTGGATTAGTATTAACAAAATAATGATACTCACTCTACTCTTCGTATCGAAACCCCTGTTGTTATCCGGTTCTTGTAAAAGGGAGGTAAAGAGTAAAGTTTGCCGGACACTCATGTCCGGTCCAAAATCTGTGTGCCGCTGGACATATGCAACACATTTTTCTAATTTCTTTAGAGTCAGATAAAGGCCGTTGACCATGAATTCTCCTCGTAAGCGACACCGCCACTTACGATGTCTGTTGGCAAGAATGTCTAACAAAGAAGTGCCTTCATTTTCTGAAAATTTTAATAATGTTAATATTTTCAAGTTTTATTGCGTTAATATTATATTACTTTAAGGCTGATACTTTGCAATTATTCACATAAATATTTTAAATATTGTATTGTTAATCAATATTTATGTTGTTACTATTACATATCCTCTTAACCTGACATATGTCAGATAAGTTCCAAGAAGCCGCTAGCCGCAAGAAAATCCGCAGTAAAAAAGTGTCTGGTGTTAATATTTAGAAATTACTATATTACTTTAAGGCTAATATTTCGTAATAATATTCACAAAAATATTTATATAATATTTAATTTATGTTTCTAAATTAAAATTATATTACTTTAAGGCTGATACTTCGCAATATCATACATAACAATGCTACTGTACATAAAATAATTAATTAATATTCATAAATTAAAATTATATTATTCTAAGACTTACTTCATCAAATACTTGACAATTCCTTAATAATTATTGAAATAATATGAAACATAAGTATAACATAACAAAGAAGCATTGAATGGAAGTACACCAAGTTTTAGATCTTATTTCGTTTTATGGTATCAGTCAAGTACAAAATAATAACTTTTGTAATGAAATTAAAATACAAAAAGAATTTTTCAGAGCATTTTTTTTGAAATCGAGAATGCAATTTTTGTTCAAATACAGATCAAATTTTAACTTCGAATTACAGAAACAAAACTTCAAAGCCCTTATTTTTTTTGAAAATATATATAAGGCGAAATACTTAAACGACTCACTGAAACTAAATATACATTCAAAATGAGAACTATCAAGTTAAACAAATACTCAGGAAAAGTAGAAGATTTTAAATTTTGGCTTTTATTTTAACATATACTGAATGGGGTTCAAAAATATTGAAAGGTAGAAATATATTTTTTTTCGAGATTCAATTAATAAATTGAAACATTAATCGAAACCTTATTTTTTATTATTGTAATTATTAGCACTAAAATAGTATTACTAATTTGTTATATAACATTTAAAATAAAATTAATATATAACTGATGAGCTTTAGACGATATAGTACTGAATGAAAAGTTTTCTAAAAGTGGAATTCTTACATCAAACTTTTTATTGGTATTGTTTATAGGTACTTCACAAATTCTAATGGGCATTAGACAACAGCCCAATACACAGAAGCATCTTATTGTCGGCATGGAAATAGTTTTTTTACTCTAAGAATACTCTCTTGAGCAATTTGAGAATATGTCACAAAGTCAAAATCAGAACGGAATTACAGCACAAAAGACATTCAAAAACATTTACAAAATTTTTATTAAAAATTTTATAGAAATTACAAAATTTTATTTATTATTTCTATAAAATAAATTTAAATCACGCAAATATTCATTTGTGTGATTCAAAATTGCTTCTGTGATTAAAATTTGATAAATACGCCAGGTGTATAATTTTTGTAATTTTTTACTTCAACTAAATTATTAACTTTTAATTTTATCAAGCTATCAAACATAACATGTATGGAAAAACTCAGTTCAACTAATGCTGGTTAATTTAAAAAAAAAATCTCCAAGTTTATTTTCGTCTAATATTTCTAGAGCAACTGTAAACCAAAAATAAAGAGATAAAGTGCAGTAAGTTTTACTGCTAAAGTGCAGAAATAAGTAATTATGTAGATTATCGGGATAATGTGCAAATTAACTAGAGTGATCTGTTGTAGTGCCGAAAATTGTTTAATTTCTCACAATGGGCGCATCACCTAGCTAATCTGTCCATTACCGACTAAACTCTCGTTAAAGTGAAAATAAGATCTTTACTGGAACAACAACAACGTTTCTGTACGCTTACATTTACATAGTGTTATTTATTTTTCGGTATCTAAATCAAGTTAATGCAATCAAACTATCAATAAATTAGCAGACTTACTAAAATCTAAAAATTAATTGTATCAGCTAATCAGATGAACAAAATCAACTAATTAGATAAAAATCTTATACTATAATACGAGGAATGGTTGCCAAGTCGAAAATCGCCCCAGAATTAATAAACTCCGGTAAACTTGGGGGTCTGGGGTTTTTGGCCACGAGGAATCGATTGGCGCCGGTTTTGAAGCGCTACGGTCGAGCAGTTCGGAGTTACAGATAGGATATTTTCAAACTTTATTAGTTCGCCATAATGGCTATAGATANACAATATATTTCATTTAAATTTATAAATTAATATTACATTACTTTAAGGCTGATATTTCGTAATATCATGCATAAAAAAAACTACAGTGTATAAAATAAATTAATATTTATAAAAAGACTTACTTCGTAAAATACTTGACAATTCTCTGATAAATATTTAAATAATATGAAACTTAAGTATAACACAACAAAGAAGCATTGAATGGAAGTACACTAAGTTTTAGATCTTACTTCATCTTATAGTATAAGTACAAAATGATAACTTTTGTAAGGAAATTAAAAAACAAAAGGAATCCTTTAGAGTATTTTTTTTACTATCGAAAATGTAATTTTTGCTCAAATACATATCAAATTTTAACTTCGAATTACAGAAACAAAACTTCAAAGTCTTTATTTTTCTTAATATATATATAGGGCGAAATATTTAAACGATTCACTGAAACTAAATATATATTCAGAATGAGAACTATTAAGTTAAACAAATACTCAGGAAAAGTAGAAGGTTTTAAATTTTGGTTTTCATTTTAACATATACCGAATCGGGTTCAAAAAATGTTAAAAGGTAGAAATATATATATTTTTTTAGAGATACAATTAATAAATTGAAAGATTAATCTAAACCTTATTTTTTTATTATTGTAATTATTAGCATTAAAATAGTATTGCTAATTTGTTATATAACATTTAAAATAAAATTAATATATAACTGATGGGCTTTAGACGATATAGTACTGAATGAAAAGTTTTCTAAAAGGGGAATTTTTACATCAAACTTTTTATTGGTATTGTTTATAGGTACTTCACAAATTCTAATGGGCATTAGACAATGGCCCAGTTCACAGAAACATCTTATTGTCCGCATGGAAATAGTTTTTTATTCTAAAAATACTCTCTTGAACAATTTGAGAATATGTCACAAAGTCAAAATCAGAACGGAATTGCAGCGCAAAAAACATTCAGAAACATTTACAAAATTATTAAAATGTTTATAAAAATTAAAAAATTTTGTTTACTACTTATTATTTTTATATGAATATTTGCGTGATTCAAAATTGTTTCTGTGATTAAAATTTGATAATATGCCAAGTGTATAATTTTATAATTTTTTACTTCGACTAAATTATTAGCTTTTAATTTTATCAAGTCATCAAACATAACACGTAAGGAAAAATTTAGTGAAAATTCAACAAATGCTGGTTAGTTTTTGAAAAAAAATTACCAAATTTATTTGCGTCCGATATTTCTAGAGCAAGTTTAAACCAAAAATAAAGAGATAAAGTGAAGTAAGTTTTAATGCTTAAGTGCAGAAATAAGTAATTCTGTACATCAGGGGTCCCACCTTTTTGTACCTAAGAGCAAATACTAGAATATCGGTCGAATGGCGGGCACCATATATTTTTTCAAGATAAATTTATACTTATCAGACATAGGTAATAATAAACACTACATATAGTGCTAAAAAAACTTAATTTTAAAAATTAATTTAACATATGAATATAATTAGTATTAATATTCTTGTGTATGGTGCCCGCGGACATGGGGTTGGGGATCCCTGCTGTATATTATCGGGATAATGTGCAAACTAGAGTGATCTGTTATAGTGCTGAAAATTGTCTAATTTCTCACAATGGGCGCATAACCTAGCTAATCTACCCATTACCGACTAAACTCTCGTTTAAGTGAAAATAAGATCTTTACTGGAACAACAACAACGGTTCTGTACGCTTACATTTACAAAGTGTTATTTATTTTTCGATATCTAAATCAAGTTAGTACAATCAAACAATCAATAAATTAGTAGACTAACTAAAATCTGAAAATGAATTATATCAGCTAATCAGATGAACGAATCGCAAAATTAACTAATTAACTGAAAATTAATTATAATACGAAGAATTAAACGGCTTAAAATAATATTACAACTAAATGTGAATCATGAGAAATTAATGAGAATTAAATGAGAACGTTGTTATAAGGAAATACGAGAAAAACTTTTGATCTTTAAAAAAAACGGAAGCCGCTCATTTACTCTATGCCAAGGTAAAACGTCGAAAATATTGATTCCATACTATAACAGAGCTAATCAGTTTATTTGCATATTAGCTAAGTATTGCGCCAAAGCTTCAATGGAAACGGATCCAAAAATCTCAGTCAAAGTATTACCACTTTTAAAAATGAATTAAACCCTCAAATATTAAGAGATTTAAAAATAGTTTCCACTAAAAAAATGAGATAATCTTTAATAAAAATATGATTTCAAAATAATAAAACTATATTTCAATTATTTAAAGTCAATCATACATATTGTTTAATTTTTACCTGTAGTAGCCATTATAGCCAATATTTCGCCACCTCTTGCTTCAAATGACAAACCTTCCAACATTCTTAATTTTGTCCGGGCACCACCACATAAAGTATGCCATGCAGAAGACATATCTAATTCGTAGCTAAGGTCTCGTACTTGTAAGTGAGGATATCTTGGTAAACCTCCATCGTTGTTAGCTCCTGGTAAGGAGGAATAAAAACTGTCTTTTGGAAAAAACCTTTCGTTCAGCATTGGTGCATCGTGACTATAGAAACCATCCATATGCTGTTGGAATTAAAAATTGTCAATTTTCATGTTCAAGAAGTTACATTTAAAATATGAACATTTTAAAATATGGCATAAGCACCGAGAAAGTTAAGTTAGTTACTTTTGCTTGAATTTAAGTTTCCGATGTTATCCTCTTGCAGTAAAGCTATGATTTCTTAAAAATTTGATTTGATACAATAACACATTACATCTGTTCATTTCATACATACCGGAATGATATATGTTACGTTCGTTAATTATTACGACAGTATTTGAAATAAACAGATAAATTGAGTGAAAATAAGGGAATTCTTGATCACGTAAAAACACTAATTGGCAATATCAAATTATTTGTATTATTGTGCATGAATACATAGTAGTTTGGGAATAAGTAAACAATAAATTTGCAAAGCAATGCATAAAAAGTTGAAATTTTCAGATTTTGACATTTATTTTACTTTACTTATATCTTACATAAAATTTTTTTATTTAAATTTAAAAAGGCTTCCAAAAATATGTTAGACTAAGATTAACTTTATTTAAGTAAAATACTTCAGTTTGAAATATTTACGTTTATAATCATAATTTCAAGGTTTTATAATCCGAAATTTAGTCCTATTTTTAAGATAATTTATTAATAAAATAATATCAATTTAAGTCAACATCAATATATAAAGATTTCATTATAGCACTAGAGACCGACGGTTTTAATTTTATTCACCTGTAGAACTCTATATGGCAAATATATCGCGGAACAGCGACTTAATAAAGTTTATTAACAATTATGAACATACATTGTTGATAAAAATACTTAGTTTTCTATAGTTTTAAAATTAGTTTTTATATCTGAGGCCGGCAGCGGAATAAAGTATCTGAAGTATCTGTAAAGCTCTGAAATATGCATTCGCTAAAAAGATTAAATAAGTTAGATTGTGATTTCGCAGAAATAAAATAAAAAAAACTCTTATGAACGTTAAGAATGTTTTATGAGAAACTTTTTATTGATAGTTCAATTTGTTTCATTTTGAATTGAAAAACTGAACTGGAAAAATACAAATATGCAGTTGTTTTGAAATATGTAACCTTTCATAATTCATTCATTACATTGCTAGTAGAGACATATGTATAGATTTTTTATTCTTACTGGCATATGATTTAAATTTCATAAAAATAACTAATATTGAAAAGTAGATGAATTAATGATTGTATCTAAATATCATTGTTGGTTATAAAATTTTTCCTAAATCTCGGAGCGTATGTAACCTTTATACGGGTCATTTGAATCCCATGGAATACTGTTTTGGATACTGCTGATCCAAACTATATTTCTGCTGAAAAGTTTGCACAGTATTGCCCTTCCCTAAAATAAGCAAAACTAAAAAAGATGAAAATGAAAAATTGGAAAAATGTATTTAAAACACTGAATTATACTTGCTTACCCAAAAATATGCACAACAAAAGAAACATGCAAAGCAATTTAATTAAAACACTGAACTGTACTTGCTTATCCTAAAATAAACATAACTGAAGGAAAATGAAAAATTACAAAAATTTAAGTACTGAATTTTATATGTTTTGCCCTAAAATAAGGATAACTGAAGAAAATTAAAATATGGGAAATATTTAAAACACTGAATTCTATTTGATTCTCCTAAAATAAGCGTAATTAAAAATGAAAATGAAAAACGGGAAACTATTTAAAACACTGAACTATACTTGCTTATCCTAAAATAAGCATAATTTAAGAAAAATGGGAAATTTTTTTAAAACGCCAAATACTACTTACTTTGGAATGACTCCGGTGTGAAACATGGTCTGGCGACATCCTGGAATTGACAGAAATATGCGATCCAGCTTTTGAACCAGGAGAAATCACATGACCGTTTCCTGGCATAGGATTTCTCTGATATCCTTCCCTAGCGTCTTCTCTCGCTTTGAGTGCTTGTTGCCTCGTCAAGGCCCGATTGTCAACACTCAAAAGATCTGCTTCACTGCTCGCCTTTAGGCGGGATGCTTTCCTACTTTCAGAATCGATGCCAGAGGCATTGGAAGGAATCACATGGTTCCGGAAATCCGGATCGCTCCTGGTCCGGCGATTTCGACCATTGATGTAGGGAGATCCACCGTTGTCATCGCTAGAGTCATATCCGGATGAACCGTTCCTAAGGGGTTTTGCGTGAGTTGTAGGATGTGGCAACACTCTGGGCAACCCAAACCTGAGGTAAGTGAAAACGTTCGATCCCAGTTCGGAATTACGCTCTCTAGGTCCATACTTGGGATGGTTAAGTATAGTCTGTACAGTGCTTTCACGAAGTCTGAAGTTACCGAATGGAGGTTGTGATTTGTGGCCTGTATCAGGAATAAAATATTTCCTTTTTAGTTTCGAAAATTAGATTTTGAAATTATAAATTTGAAATTATAAATTTGAAACATAATGGAACAAAATATGCGCCAACTCTTGAAAATCAGCTACCTTAGATTTTTGAATTTTTCTGAAATTTTGGTATTGATCTTCTCAATCGAGCTCGTTTAGAAAACAAAAGAACCAAGAATTAATTTTGAGTCAACTACATTTTTGTGGACTTACCTATGAGTTTACATGACGTAACCTGGCAATTTCATAAAAAATAAAAATTAGCTAAATGTTTAGACTTCAGTTACATAGGCAAGGTAGTTAACACAGGCAATAAGTTTACATAGGCAAGCTAGATTAACATTGAAAACTTAGTAAATTTAGAAATATAGAGAGTAAGAACTAGTAAAAATTCTGACATTTCCCAATTTAATTTTATTATAAAGTTCTACATTATAATAAGTTTTAAATAAGCTTGCCGTCATTTGCAACCAGCTTGGACATTTCTCAAAATTATCTAGTACCACATATAAACTTTAATGGCAACCTAGCCAAATGCACAACAGTAAGTGTAATTAAATAATTAATTCTTGACTTCGGTAACTAACAAAGTTTTCGTGACTTATAAATTTTGTCTCATTTTTATTGACTTATAAAATAAAATAGCATGAAAAGAGGAATTTCGAAGAATATTTACCAAGAGCGCTGTCTGTGAAATCTGAGTTAAGATTTTGCCTATAGATACTCCATGCATGTAAGTCTTCTGTCGTTTGACATCGTCCAGAAGGATCTGAAAGGGTGCTTGGGGGCACTGAGTATCTTCGTTCCATAGTACTCATCTCCCACATTTTATTCTAAAGAAATCAAAGAAAATCCATTTTCAATATTTAGTGCAGAAAAGGCAAATAAAATTTAAATCACGACGATAAAATGCTATTTGTGATGCCACAATAGAACACTAAAGATACTTAACTAATAAAGTACTAAAAGCAAAAAATGTGTAAAATTTGGTGCATACCTGGTATTTATACACGAAATTTTGGTATGTACGGATAATTACAGTTACTCTTGACAGTTTTATCTTTTACCAGATAATTCCTCAGAAATGTTTGGAAAACTGACATTTGTACACGTTATTTTGGTATTGTTTGGTCTACGTTAAAGCAGTAGATGTATCTGAGAATTTTTTTTCTCCAAAGACTGCAGGATGTTCCCTTAAAAATTTGATTAAAAAAAACGGAGCAAAATGGGAAATATTACTAAGGTGGTTCAGGTACCTGGAATTGGGTATTTACCTAAAGTAAAAATAAACCTTTCGACGCTGTTTCTAGAAGAAAATAAGTATGCTGTCATTAAAGAAATAATTAAGGTAGGGACAACGGTTTAGAATTTTCAATTTGAAAAATGTGAGTTATTAAACTTTTTTTTTTATTACACACTACTAATTTTCACTCAAAAAACTATTGTTTTTTTCCACACAAAAAAAGGCCAATGCATTTTAAATCATACTATCCCCCCCATTCTTTTCTTAAGATTAAATTGCTTTATTTAATTACATTTCATTAACTGCCAATCTTACCAACCTCATCTTTATGCCAAATAACTTTTTATTCATTCCAAAGTTAAACTTCAGAATGCGTGATGAGCCGACCATCAATGATGAGCCGACCATTTTCCAACTCGTTAATTTTGTACGTGAAATTTTACCATAGTAAATATTTCGAGCAAATTTCGAGGACTACTATAATCTGTAGATAACAGAAAATAACCTTGGATTGGTTTTTCTAAAGTACTTTACATTATGTATGATGTGTATTTGTGTGAAAATTCGCAATAACGAATTTAAGTATTCAAAACATAAAACTCACAAAAACAAGATTATAATCTTCAATCTAAAATCTATTATTTAATTTTAAATTAAATATTTTTAACAGAAAGAGATACAAATTTTTATTAAAAAAAATCAATGGGCAAATTAAATTTATTAAGTTTGCACTGTATTATTCGAGTACTTCTCTGAAATATGACTTCACTGATTGATCAACAATACCAAAATAACTTCTTACATCTACTCCTAGATGGAGACACCACCGTTGAGACGAAGAGAAGTTTTTCTTTAAGATCAAAGATCTGATTTATTTAAATGCATATTACTAGAAAAAAGGGTTTTAATTTTTCTACCTATTTCAGCCTTATAGAAAGTAAAATTTAGTACAAATTACTTATTACGAAATTTTCGTAAGCGAGAAGAAGTTTGCAGTTTAAATTTAATTAGCAAAAAACCAATTGTTGAACCAATTGAACGAAACTGTTACAATTTGCTGAAGATTTTTGTTATTAAATTGGCATGTTGTTAAAAAAAAAGGAAATAAAAATATAATATGATAATATATATCACGAATTTATTAAATTTAAGGATCCGCTTAAATTTGACCTGGTTAGCAAAATGAAGAAATATTATTAAGAAGACGATAGAGTGACTGAGGAACGATAATCGCGAACGAACGAGAGAATTTTTAAAACAACCGATCGATGATTAAATGAACTTTCGGCTATGATTTCATCTAAATTGGAATAGAATATGTTGTTATAGCTCATTCAATAAAATATTTTTTTATAAAATTCATCATGTTTCGTCAGAAATTATTCATCTGTCAGCACAATATACATTTACATACATATATACAAGTATATACATATATACACATATATATTCAAAATTAAGATTATTAATTTAATTTCAGGAACACTTTTGACTGATGTTTTTTATTGTTATTTTATAACCGTAGTTAAAGAGCCGACACAATTTTGAGTTACGATTACCGAACTCTGTAGCCTTCTAATTTTAAACACAATCTGGAAGACAAGGGAACTCCTGGATCAAGTATTTGGAGAAACTTCCATTCGTGGATGAAGTTTTCATGGAACTAACCCGCATTTGTGTTACATGGATAGGAACCACGAAAACTACGAAAATCTCCAACGGTTAGCCTGATGGCAAAAGGACTCTTACCCATGTATTTACCATTGAATAAATTGAAAATGCATTTACCATAATTAAAAATATAGCTTTAGTATAAATTATATATCATACTTACAAATAAAATCCATGCATAGATTTATAAATTTTTATTACCAAATTCCATTTAGTAAGCGTGTTTAAATTCCTTTTGAAGATAGTATGGAATAATGTACTATAAGGTGACGAAAAACAAAGCATTTACTTTTCTATAACGTTCTTGTTAACAATGGTATTATTTTATCTGGTTTTGTTTAACCACTATTTAATCTAACTTGTATGAAACGCTTCAATAAGTACAAAAGATTAAGAAAATTTTATACTGTTAAGTTAGAAAGAACATGTGTAAACATTTGTTCGAAAGAAAACAAGAGCAAATGGAAACAATATTGTGAAAGTTAAAAAAACAGAGAAGTAAATATTTGAAATTTTATAAAATAAAAGATTTTATAAATGTAGATGTGATATATAAAACGTTTGTTTTTGTTATATTCAGATGAACAAGTACAAACAATTACAGACACAGTGAAATTCTAAGAACCATTAATCTCAATCGATGATGAATCTTAATTTTTAAACATTAAAAAATTTGAATAGTTAGAACAATTATGGATTTAATGATTTCGTTTGGGAAAGTTAGTGTTTTCTTTTTTTTCCCGCAATTTTATTATTTGAAAAAAGTTTCTTTACATAATTCATGTTATAATTATTTCATTTAAAAAATTTTTTCATCGATTTAAATTAAAAAAACTTAAAATACTTCACGTATAAATGCTATTGAAAATTTCTACAAATCAAATAAAAAATTGATTGCGTTATTGGCGGAAGTCTCCACTTTTCAGTAAAGTTTTAAATTAATCATGCTACATCTGAACAGTCACCCCAAATTTCCTGTAGAAACTTTTTTTAAATTTCGTTTTTGAAAAAATCTAAAAATAAAAACATTTTTATAGGTGCGCAATAAAAGTCCTTAGAACTACGTGTAAAAAATTTGCACAGTAAAAAATATATTTTGTATTGTTAATTGTTAAAATGAAAAACAATTTACACCTAAAATAAATTATAATTTTAAACTCAAATCAATTCCTTTTTCTGAAATCTCTATTTCTTTTCAAATTTCAACTGCCAATGAGATAACCCAAGTTCTAATCCCAGTTCTAATCCCTGGTGGCTAGTTAATAGGAATTCAACTCCCTGCTCGCATCAACCATGGAGATGACGTAAAATATCATCNAATTATTGGCTTAACTTGTATGAAACGCTTCAATGAATACAAAAGATTACGAAAATTTTATACTGTTAAGTTAGATAGAACGTGTGTAAACTTTTGTTTGAGAGAAAACAACAAGAGCAAATCAAAACAATATTGTGATAGTTAAAAACACAAAAGTGAATATTTGAAATGTTATGATAAAATAAAACAGATGAACAAGTACAAACAATAGATGTACAAGTACAAACAATAAATGAACAAGTACAAACAATAGATGAACAAGTACAAACAATAGATGAACAAGTACAAACAATCACAGACACAATGAAATTCTAAGAACCATTAATCTCAATCGACGATGAATCTTAATTTTTAAACATTAAAAAATATGAATAGTTAGAACAATTATGGATTTAGTGATTTCGTTTGGGTAAGTTACTGTTTTCTTTTTTCGCTTTTTTATCGTTTAAAAAAAAGTTTCCTTATATAATTCATGTTATAATTATTTCATTCAAAAATTTTTTTCATCGATTTAAATAAAAAAAAACTTAAAATACTTCACGTATAAATGCTATTGAAAGTTTATACAAGTGAAATGAAGAATTGATTCCGTTATTGGCGGAAGTCTCCACTTTTCATTAAAGTTTTAAATTAATCAGGCTACATCTGAGCAGTCACCCCGAATTTCCAGTAGAAGCTTTTTTTGAATTTGGTTTTTGAAAAAATCTAAAAATAAAAACATTTATATTTTTAAAGGTGCGCAATAAAAGTCTTAGAACTACGTGTAAAAAATTGCACAGTAAAAAATATATTTTGTATTGTTAATTGTTAAAATGAAAAACAATTTACTCCTAAAATAAATTATAATTTTAAACTCAAATCAATTCCTTTTTTCTGAAATCTCTATTTCTTTTCAAATTTCAACTGCCAATGAGATAACCCAAGTTCTAATCCCAGTTCTAATCCCTGGTGGCTAGTTAATAGGAATTCAACTCCCTGCTCGCATCAACCATGGAGATGACGTAAAATATCATCAGTGATTATCGGATCATGGGATAGAACCCAGTCGGTCTAAACGGGGGAGGATTTTCCTCTCTATGTAACACAAATGAGGTTTAGTTCCATCAAAAAGTCCTCAATGAAGACTAATTTGTCTTAATGCTTGATCCAGGAGTTACCTTGTCTTCTAGGTTGGGTTCAAAATTACAAGGTTACTGAGTTGAACATCGATGATCGTAAACTTAGAATCGGGCCGTCTGTTCAACGCCGTTTATAAAAAAAGTGCTTGGTTTCATTCAAAATAAAGTATACATTATTAACTAATATTTAAAAGTCAATATATGTTAAAAACTAACTCTTTCGAAAGACTATATAGAGAATCTTAAAAAAGTTATTAATATTAAGCAATGCAACTTTTAGTTGCTTAATAGTTCAAAAGCACGAGAGACTAAATCTGAAAGGTCACCGTTAATCTGTAATAAATTGTCACCCAATATCAGGTGAGTTGGGGTATCAAAACATCTCCTGATCCCAGAAGGTCATCTACCTGCCAGTTAAAACTGTCCTTAAGAATTATTGGCTCGTCCTTGACACAGAATGCCAATCATTCCTTAAGAGATACG